ATTTTTGGTAAAAAGTGATATTTTCGACTTCTTGTTAAAAACCACAATCATTTATAGTGAAAAATGATATTTTTGAATTCTTGTTGAAAACAGCAAGTCCCATTGCATTGATACCATGCATATTGTTCATTTTCTAATGATATCTTCTGTTCTTTAATTGAAATGTGCAGTGCTAACAGCAGAGCTATCTCAGCCGAGAGGCTGCTTGTTGGTAAATAGTTATGCATATTAATTGCCTAATTTGCATAATTAACCAATTTTCAACTTTCAAAACTAATATCTCAAGTACTAATCATCTCTCTGTCTGTATCCAGCCATATCTCACACATGCTCATCAAGTTCAAACTTTCTACATACATCAGACATTATATCAGACATAGCCAAGATAGCCAAATTGCTGTTGTTTTAATCTTAAAAATTCACCATAATCAAGCATTTCTTCAATACCAGGTCAATATGTTCCTTTGGTTTGATGTCTGGATCTTGATCATGTATAGACAGACAGATTTTATTCAAACTTTCTTCCCATATAGTCACCATGTACTGCAACATCAGTGTCTTCACATATACAATATACTCACCATGTACTGCAACATCAGTGTCTTCACATATACCCACCATATACTGCAACATCACAGTGTCTTCCCATATACTCACCATGTACTGCAACATCAGTGTCTTCACATATACCCACCATGTACTGCAACATCAGTGTCTTCCCATATACTCACCATCTACTGCAACATCACAGTGTCTTCCCATATACTCACCATATATTGTAACATCACAGTGTCTTCCCATATATGCACCATATACTGCAACATCACAGTGTCTTTCCATATACTCACCATGTAGTGCAACATCACAGTATCTTCACATATACTCACCATGTAGTGCAACATCACAGTATCTTCACATATACCCACCATATACTGCAACATCACAGTGTCTTTCCATATACTCACCATGTACTGCAACATCACAGTATCTTCACATAAACCCACCATATACTGCAACATCACAGTGTCTTTCCATATACTCACCATATACTGCAACATCACAGTGTCTTCACATAAACCCACCATATACTGCAACATCACAGTATCTTCACATATACCCACCATATACTGCAACATCACAGTGTCTTCCCATATACTCATCATGTACTGCAACATCACAGTATCTTCACATATACCCACCATATACTGCAACATCAGTGTCTTCCCATATACTCACCATGTACTGCAACATCACAGTGTCTTCACATATACCCACCATATACTGCCAACATCAGTGTCTTCACATATACCCACCATATACTGCAACATCAGTGTCTTCCCATATACTCACGATATACTGCAACATCACAGTGTCTTCACATATACTCACCATATATACATCACAGACCATCACATCACAGTATCTTCACATCTATCCACATACCAAGTACACAGCCATATGACATTATTATTCATCTTACAGAGATGCTGTTGAAGGAAATGCACAGTATGCAACACGACAAGTCAATACTTCTGCCACTGAGTCTATTTATGGGAAGACTGGTCCAGACTTCTGTGTCTCCTACATACCACTTGATAAGCTGCAGAATCATGTGAAAAGGAGAATTGAAGGACAGGTAAGCCATTCAAAATTTAATATTAGATCAACAAATTCATGACTTGTAGATGTGATAAAGTCATAATAATTATAGTAAACATGCTGGAGCAATATGTTAATAGCACTAGGAGCACTTAATAGAATGCATACCTCTTTCAAGTTCATTGTTAATCATTCCAGATGTTGTCAACGGTGTCAAGAGTTTTGCAGAATTTGTCAACTAAAGCAAATGTTGAAATTATTGGGGTAAGTATTTCACTATATACCATACTAATCTGACTTAGCACCCAGAGTACCCAGCTCTAAAAATCATTTGCAAATGACAATTTTAGTTCACCATGTGACAGATTGACAGGAAAATGAAATTACAATCAGTTGCGTCGTCATTACCCACTTTGAAAACTTATTCAAATGACAATTTTAGTTTACCATGTGCCAGAAAA